AGAGAGAGAGAGAGAGAGAGGTGCGACATGTCAAGCACAGCGGCAGTGCTCATGCATGAAGCATGGTCGCTTCCACACGCGCGGCCTGTGTGGCTTCGCCCCCGTCTGCACCCAGAGCCGGCATGCCAAAGGCTTAAATACACTGTTGAAGATGTTGATCGTGTGCCCAACTTGTTGGAAGTGGCTTGGAAAGCTTTCTTGCTCCAGTAGATGCTGCCTGCTGTCCACCGACCAGACACCTGCGATCCTGCCCTTGCCCCATTGCCTGCAATAGCAACAGTCACAGCTCCAGCTGGCTACATTCCGCAGCTTTCATTTTTTGCAGTCCACGCTCAATGAATTGCACAACACTTGAAGCCGTGGCAATGCTGCAATTTCTTGCGCCTGTGGTCCGCCATGCAGTAGTTCCTATGTCCTATGCATGCCCCGACAAGGCAGACTGACACCCAACTTAGAACACAAAAAGAAAGAAACCCAACGACTGTTGCAGATGTCGTCTGTCGCACGGCTTCAAGGCTCATCTTTTCACATGACACACGTACGCGTAGGCGTAGCTTTGAAGATGCTGCAGGCTGTTTCTGAGGAGAGCTCAGCGAGCTCCTGGTCGGCATGGCTTTCCCAACAGCGTCTCGACAAGTTGCTTCGACACGATGGACAGCGGCTTCGACTCGACTCTTTGCGAGTGCGGCCGCTGCAAGTAGAGCAGACCACCTTCTCTCTGCGCGGGCAGCAAAACAACCAGGCGCGCCTCTTTGCTTGTTTTGTCGACTCCGCCAGCTGCTCTTGGCGCAGTTGCCTAGTTGTTTATCTAAACCAGGCTGTAAAGGAGCAGGCTAGACTGCCAGCGGTTGGCTGTGTCCAGGTGGAGATCTTACTTTGATGGACTGAAATGGTTTCCCAGTGCGTGCACACTCCGCCCTCGCAGAACAAGGAGCTGTTGCACTGGATTGGACTGGCTGGACTGCCAGAGTCAACAAGCTCGTGGCCCTCAGAGCTGTCCGGATCGACACAGGGTGAAGAAGACATCCTCAGACCCAGCGATCACGAAGTGCAGCCAGCAGACAACCCGACCAGGACAGGCATACGGTGCATACAGTCACACATGCGCCTGCTCGGGAGGCTTTCCTCGACACGGCCAGGCTCAGCGTGTTCTTGGTCTTCCTGGTGAGCGAGATATGTATTCTTGCGACCTCTTGGATGATGATGCCCTGCCAGCGGCACTTGAAGCAACGATCTGCTTCCGCGTACTGAGTCGTCAGAGTTCCTGGTTGCGGGCGAGCGCTTGCAAGAAGCGAGGGACAAAAAGCTACACGGGCGAGGCATGTTCTCTTGCAAGGTTTTGCCCAGCGTTGGCCGTGAGCTGTGTCAGGTCGAGTGCCAGCCCTAGGTGAGTATGGTGGCCTGGGATATGCAGTGGAAGGCCATGGCTGGTCTTCCTACAATTCGTGGGGATATGGGGAGAAGCAAGTCAACCGTCACCGGGAAACTTGTCCCCAGAGAGACTTTGCAGGCTCAACAGTCGCAAAAACAACGGAGCCAGAGCCAAGGAAGTTTATGCTACTGCGCTGGAGAAGCTGCTTCTGCGACTACTTCCATGCATTTGCGACTTGGGCTCTCTTGGTGCTGTTTGCTTGGACGGTGCAGACAGTCATGAATCTCAGGCGACGGGCTGGGTGCTGCAATCTACACTCAATGGAACGATGTTGAAACCGAAGTCAATGGTTTGCTCACTTATGACCGCCAATCTGCTGCAAATGGGGCACCCTATCACCTGAGAACATGTGCATGTCCCACCTGACAGAAGCAGCGCATGTGCCAAGGCCACCTGAAGCTCCCAATGGAGTTTTACCAAGAGTTCTCTCGAATGGTGCAGGAGTCGGCGCGCAAGTGCATGTCCGCGACGCGGCTGCATTCCAGCCCACAAGAAAAGCACGCTCGTGAGCCAGCAGCCGGGGCAGCCGGGGCGGGGTCGGGGGAATCATTGGCACTCGGGGTCGCTTTGGCGCCGTTCTTGGTTTTCAGGTGCCCGGCAAGGTCGCCAGTCTGTCCGCCGACTGAAGGGTCTTCTCTATGGTGGAAAACGCGACCTTCTGACTTTGTGAGTGCCTGCTCCAGGGATCTTGGAGAGAGACAGCACCAAGTATCGTCTTGGAAGAATAGCATTCTAGCTTGACATGGCAGCACGAGCCCAGAAGAGACTTGTCGATGCATGAGTTACTGTATGGCAGGTCCTGAGCAAGACACGCAGGCAAGGCCTTCAGTGCATTGATGTGCATTGTAGCAGTGTGGAGGAAGCGCCAGCGAAGCTTCGACCCGAGGAGCAGGTGTGGTCCGCAATGGAGACCGCAGCAAGACGAGGCCAGCCAATGTGTGCAACACCCTCAGTATGCAGAGGACACTTTTTCGAATCCGATCATGGCTGGAAGCTGAGCGGCTGAATGCGTTTGCGGTAAGGCCAGCTGCCAGGGCAAGAAGAAGAAGACACTCCAAGTTCAACAGGGAGAGGAAGGCAGCAGCCACATGTATGGGCTGGTTTAGCATCAGCCGTCTCGTTAGCCGCAGGCGGGATTCTCGGAAGCCTATGGAACCTTGGTGGCGCATGGAAATCAGGATCACAGCAGGCAGGTCGCCAAAAAAAGGCGGGCCGCACAATCTAGCAGCATGGCTCGGCTCACGATGCAGGTCACGGACAACGTGTTAAATGAGGATAGCGAGTACGAGGAGCTGCTACATGGCAAAGAATACAGATGCAGTCTAGGAGCTCCAGATTGGAAAGAGAACGGGCTGTGCTTTCATCAGCAACCGTCCACTTGGAGGAGGATCAAGTCGATGAAGTAACTGGCTTGGTCGGGGCACACTGCTTCGCGGTGGCAGATCAGTCCAGGCTTCCATGTGTTCTGGAATGGTTCCCAATCGCCTCGCTTGTAAATGTACGCTAGTTCATCGCCGAAGCGATCACGGATGCAGTAGCATCTCCTGTGCAATTAAGCAACCTGTTTTTCCTACAAACAGCACGGTGGGGCTTCACGAGCTGTTTCGGGCGTGTTGGCGTCTGAAGACAGAACCAGGCTACACGGTTTTGGCGGCAATGGAGGCCCAGATGGCCAAGTTTCTCGCTGCTTCTAGATCGAAACATACAGTTGCTTGGGCATCCGCTGGCAGGTAGCTGCCGACAAGGGGAAAAGCTGGTTCCGCAAAGAGCCAGCCACCCAGAGAACTCAACATGCTGTAGATGCTAGCGGATGAAAATTTCAGTCCTGGCTGATCGTGAGCTGGTGCAGGCGTTGGGCTCGATTGAGGAACCCATGGGGGCATCGGCCTGAGACGTGTTTGTGTCGTGGCAGTTTCAACCCCCCGAACATCTCTTGCATCATGCTTTGAGTCACGATATCAGGAGCGGTCGATGGAAGGGCCCTGCGCCGTCGACTGAACAAGTCAACGGGGCACGGCTTAGTGAAGCTCGATGCTCGAAGACTTCGCGCACATAAGGCCCAAGAAGGGCAACCTGCCGTTCAGCTCAGCCGTCTTCGGTTGCGTGGGGGAGAAGGTCGCAGCTCACCTGATCTCGGAGGGCCTGGTAAAAGGTGATCTCTGCAATCGCGATGCGCAGGTTCGGCGAGGTGTCGAACGGAGCGGCGCCCAGGAGCAGCAGGCCCGGCTTGCGCTTGTATGCGCTTGTGAACCGTGGGATCATGTCTCGGCTCCAGGATGCTCCCGAAGGCCCGGTGACAGAAACTGACCCGGGAACCTTTTGGATGCTTTTGGCGCTTGCCCCGTGGGACCTGTCCTGTGAGACTGTGAGGCTTGATGTGCAAACTTCGCCCTAGGCTGACTTCATAGATGAGTTCGCCACCGTTTGCGTCTCCGAGTACCGCGACACGATGGCAAGAAGCCTCTTTCATGGAGACAGGCATACGCCGTAATCTGCCACCAGCACATGCAGTAGATCTTAGAATGACTTGCGTAACATGCAAAGCAAAGCCGTAGCATGAGGTCCCGGCTATATCTCCAGCATCTTGCCTGTCAAGCCCATGCAAACGTTGAAAGGAGCACAAACGCAGGCCGGCAGTGATTTACGACATGTCTGCGGGAGCATGCGCAGGAGGCTGAAGCAAGCTTGTGACTTTTCTGCAGGTTTCTGCCACTTTGCGGCTGCTCGCATCCGCTGAACGCACACACCTGGGCGACGTGAAGCCCTTGCATGTCGGCTCCCCAAGTTGCCTGGTCGACACAGTGACACTTGCCGACGAGTTTGTGCAGGTCGTGATTTCCGTGTTGCAAGACTCGGATGAGCTGTTCACCCGGAACAAGCGCAGAAAGTACTCATCTGCTCGCATCGAAGTGCTTGAGTCACTCGGTCGAGAAAGACGCGGCTTGAGAAGCGTCATGCGCATGTTGGCACGCCGGCGTGGACCTGAGGATCACATCGCCATTGGATTCCGCATCTCCCACGTGCCTTGCCTGCAGCTGCTATACTGGTAACTACTTCGTGAGAACAGCGAACACCGCTTCTTGGTCCACACTGGCGACAGCAGCCCTGTGCTCGTAAGGTCTGCGTGTCCAACCCAGGGAAGCCGACATGTTGCATCATCCGGCTTCGGTGCGCAGCGTGAAGTTCTACTTCCGGTCGAGCTGAAAGCAGGTGGGCTCGGTTTGCGAGCAAACTACTACGAAAATGTGAACATGTCCTCATATGTCATTGAATTCACGAGCGGCATCTTCCCGTACATGCTGGAGGTACACACTACTTGGTGATTGTCCACTGGCTGCAAGCCTCACCAGTGAGCAGCTGGAACCGCGAGGGCACATTGCGAGCACCCTGTCGAAGAACACGCACCTTGCTCCTCTTTCACGTGCGACTACAGTGATCCGCTCAGGTCTATGCCCCGTGTCCCGCAAGGCTTGAGCACGGCCAGGGCCAGGCCGTAGCTCAGCGGGAGGCCTACGAAGCTGCCGCCATGGGACCACGCGGTGCTTGCCTCAAGGAAGAACAAGGCCGGGAGTCACTTACAGGTCCTGATCTTCTCTAGGAATATATGCTAAGAGGCGCCCAGCTGCGCTGCTGGAGCGACCGTGAGTCTGGGACGATTGCTCTTTGCTTTGATGCCTCAAGCGCCCCAGCCGGGCTGCTGGCATCTCTGACGTGGAAGTTGCAGAGCCTTGACTGGTTCAGGGCCAGGGACTGCATCATGTCGGAGATGCGTCCGCGAGCCGAGGAATGCCTTGCTTCAGCCCAACTTCCCAAGCTGTGAGGGAAGCATTCCAGTGGCTGGCGAAGAGCAACATACGCAGCTTGTGGACCTGAAGCCAGGACAGCGCACCTCCCACGCACACAGACACGATATGGGTTCAATCGCCTCGTGCCTCGTGGCACCTGAGGTCAGCTCACAGTCGTTTCGTGGCTTGATCCTTCAAAGTCCTTCTCGGCAAACTACTCGTGGCAAGCAACAGCAGACCCATGCGACCAGCCTGCAATGACTGGCGGGCATGTTGGTCATTCTTCTTTGCTGGTGGAGACAGGCTCAGAATGTGGTGCTCCAGTCGGCACCAGAGTGTGGACTTCTCAGCCAGTGTGCCAAACACCAAACACAGTATCTGTGCGTTTCCCAGTCTCGTTTCGGACACTGACGGATACTGTTTGTTCTGTGTACACTGTGAACGCAAGGCCTGGCCGCTTCTCCGGAGCTTTCAGAGTGCTTAGCCCGAGCGATCCGGGAGGGCCAGCCACTCTACATGAGGAGCTACTTGTATTCTGTTCGCAACTGCAGACACAGTTAGGGTCCGATTGCAGGAGTGCTTCGAAAAGTTCATGATGCGATGCCCCTAATGCCGACAACGTAGCCCCCACGTGGTATCTGCCTGAGAAGCTCATGCCCAGGCGAGTTGCGCCAAGATGTTTGCAATGTTCAGAAGCTATCGTGCGCATGCCTGGCCGATTTGCAGGCCCAGCTGTACTGTAGCATTGAGCTTGCACCGAGACCTTCATGTTGGCATTCATAGTCAATCATGCAAGTTCGGGAGGACAGTTCTTTGCTTACACCGAGAACCAGCTTGGCAATCACGCAGCAGGCTGGTGCTGGCATTTCACGCCAGACAGAGCTTGCCTAAAGGCCCTTCACATCTGCAACATTGTAGAACCACTCAGACACAGCCGTTTTGGAGTTACCACAGGTACGTGTTCAACTGACTAGTCGTTGAAGCAGTGGGCACCAAAACCCTGCTGCTTCACTCCTTCTGTTTGATGTTCCGTTCGTGGGGCGCACGGGACAAGATACATAAGGAAAGTCCTGCTCGCAAGATTCTAGTATATGTTCTTGGTACAGAGTTCGACGTTGTGTTGTGTCTCTTGTTCGGGACAAGTCCGGGAAGTGTTGCGTCCATAGCATGCTACCACGCGAAAAACTCGCACAGACTTGTGATTTCTGCGTTTCTTGTTACATCTTCTTCGGCCTCCATGCAGGAGTGAACAAAACTGAGTTGCTGTCTGCTGGGAACCATGCATTGTGCCGCCTAAAGGTATACCACTTCTAGCCAACGGGTGCCAGCAAGTCCCCTCACATTCGGCTTTTTCCAAGTAGACCGCGCTGAGAAGTGTGTGATGCAGCCTCCTCATGCTTGCCGTTAAGTGCTGCGTAATTACGGGCTGTGACTTTCCTGTCTCTGACTCAGCCAGGACATAGTCCAACAACTCAACAGAACGCAGCCGGAGAGTCAAGCCAGAGGGGGAATGGCTGTGGGGCTTGCAGCTGACATTAAACCCCACGCTCGTTTGGTTAGATCTTGTTGTTCACTCAGGGGCCTCACTGATTCCAAGTCATAGACCATGTGGGCAGATTCGCTCCTGCTAGCTCTACCGTTTGCTAAGGCCAGGTCCACGCAGAGTGCCACGAGGAGTTTCAGAAGAAGTTTGCCAAGCCCAGCAGCTTACCACCTGCGCCTTGTCGTGGCATCGAATGGCAGCTGGATTTCCCAGAAATCCGAGGATTTGCTTACAGTGCGGCCTGCACCGGTCCCAGAGGGTGCAGATACGAACGATGCCCCGGGTATGAGAACAAGCACGGCGCGGTGAGAGCATCTGCACCGCACGCGACAGTCACAGGCCGGTGATGCAGTTGGCCGGCCAGTTCAGTGGGAAGCATTTCAATTACAAGGCCGGGCGCAGGTTTGATGTCGTCTTAGCACAAGCATTCGCCTTTGCATTCGTCAGGATGCACATTTTGGGAAGCACGGTGCGATGCCCGGAGCGGACAGACGGAACCTGAGCAGCGCAGTCAAGCTGATTGGTCGAGGCAACGGGCCTGTCCACGAGGCTGGAAACTGGAATCCGGAAGCTTTCAAGTCGCCTCAATGGGAAATGTGTGCAGTGCAGGAATGCCACCTAGCCTTCCTGCAGAAGTGGGCGCCGGCATGCTCGCGATGCAAGGCGAAGTGTTTGAGAATTAGCATAATAAGGGTATGCGAGCGCAGCTGGCGTGTCCCGCAAGATAAGCAAGATGTTATGTCAAGCAGAGCGACCTTTCTCTTTTTTGCCTCCTGCCTGGCTAGGACGAACCTATAATGCGTTCTCTGAGTCCTGAAGGTCGCAAGGTTGTCAGGCTAGTGCTCGCTGACACCGCGGTGGTTTACATAGCATTGCTGGAGCACGCAGACATATGTACTTACACTTGGGGGGGGCAGCCTGCAGGAGCCTCTTGTGGCGCTGCCGGGAAGGCCACAACTGTGCCCATGCCGTGGCTAGGAGGAGCGCATTGGTGGAGCCTGGCACCCATCCGTGAAGGTTCAGTGGCATAGTCTTCAAGCTCACAGGTTCGGGAAGCATATTTCGCTTACCTTGCATCTGTGTCCAACACTGTGGAGGTGGAGATGGCACCCTACAGGCCTGCAAACGCATGTATTACAAACATTGGCACGGCAGATTTATTGTGTTTTCTTGGTCTTGCCAATTGCAGCGCTCCCATTTCGCCAGGGAGTGGTGCATGAGGAATGCCAGGCTGCATCCTAGTACAAGGCACGCTTCAGAATGTAATGGGTCAAAGCATCAACACACCCGGCACCATCGTTGCCTCAGGCCAGGAAGAGAACACAGTTCGACACTCGACATCCATCAATTATCATCAATTAACTGCTTTAGCTCGAACATCTCCATGCTGCCAAGCAGCAAGAGGTGATAGCTAGATAATGAACTTTCCTGGTGCACCCGTGCCGGCAAGCCGGCAAAGCCGGCTACGCTCCCGAGTTTGAAAAAAAGGGGAGCCTGGCAATGCATCTGACAGTTTGACCCGGTCGTCTCCTCGAGGAGTACTGGCATGAGCTCGTCTCAAGGGCATGGAGCCGAGACGAAGTTGATGCTGTCGCGGTGTTGCTTTGAGGTCTGGGTGCTGAAAGAAGGCTAGGTTAGGAGAAAGCCCAACAAGCAACAACGAAGCTTTTTTCTCGACAATGGTGTCAAATTGTCTTCCCGTCAGCACCAGGGTGTCTGTCGCTCTCGCTGGTGCTGGTGCTGGTGCTGGTGCTGCTGCTGCTGCTGCTGCTGCTGCTGGCGGCGGCGGCGGCGGCGGTGGTGGTACCTCTGTTGATGCTCCTGCAGTTTCATCTGTTGTTTGGGCTGCAGCCTGAATCTGCCCGTTGCCGGCCTGAGGTGCTCACCCCGAGATCCCAGGTTGGCTTTGAAGCTTATCCTCCTTTTGTCAGCATTTCTCCTTGCTGCCCTCAGATGGCGCGACTCGCAGCTCAAGGAGCAATTGAATACTGCCTCTTTGCCTGAGGATCATTCTGTAGAAGATTGCATACTTTCTGCATGAGCTCGCCCCTCGCAGACGTGTTTCACAAGCTGTTAGGCAAGAACGCTGCGCAAGGCCGTGGAGCAACAATTCCAGGTGCTGGCAGCGCAAGCATAGTTTACCTTTCCTCGCTTTACCTGCCGCCGCATCAGCCGAAGTGTCTACACGTAGATGCCTGCTCCATGTTCTGGGGCATAGAAGGCAAGTAGCCCGCTAGGCGAAGCCGAAGCCAGCCACCAAAGACTGGGCTGGTGAGCTGAGAGATCACCGGAATCGGCAGAGCAGTGAAGAACATGTCTTGCTTTCTGGAAGGTACTGGAGTCGCCCAGAAGTTGCAGAAGAGGGCGCATGGCTTGGCTTCGAAGACGAGCTCGTCCTCGGCTGCGCTTGGGGTTCTTCTGTTTGCAGGTCCTTGCCTCAGAGCACCTCGCTCGTTTGCTGATGCAGCGTGTGGAAGGACTGCCAGTCGGCGTAGTGATGCCGGTGAGCAAGTGGACTCACTAGTCGCTAGACCGTCGTTTTGGTCGGGGGGCTTCTGTGACTGCAGAGAATTCATAGGAACGTTCTGGGGGATCAGGCATGGCTTTTGTTTTGATCGACGACGTGACCTCGACTGCCCGTCCCAGTGTGATTGTTTGACATATCCTCAAAGACCGGAAGAGGTGTGCAAGTAGCCTTCCATAGAACGGTTGCCCTTAGACAGAGAGCCCTTGGAGTGAGCTCTTTAGTCTTTTGCATAGGAACGGAGCTGCTGATTCGAAGAGCCCGGACCTCGGACTCTTTGGCCACCCGCTTACACCGCTACGCCATGGAAGCTCTGGCTCTCAGAGGTGAACCAGTCCTTATTCCTGCTCACCCGAGAGCAGGAGTCGCCTGGATCCCAGGAGTCCGCGCTTCTGGCACTCGGACTCGCGAAGTCCGCCCCAGGTTGAGAGTTCCCACGGAGATCTGTGACAGGAGGCTTAGCCAAGAGCGTCAGAGCCCCAGATCTCGGCTGAGACTGTTCAGAGGCTGCTTCTTCGGAGCCAGCGGCCGGAAGAGGAGAACGTTGAGGCACGGCCCCTCGCTTTCGCCGTCCCTGCGCCGGTGCAATGTCTGTCAGGATGACTTCCAGCTGGCCTTGGAGCGGGAAGAGCCCGGCTCTGACTCTTTGGAGCGTGTCGATGCTGGCCGGAGACGGCCAGGCCACGGGACTGCCCAAGGCGCGTTCTCTCATCCAGCAGCAGACACCTCGGCCTGGCCCCCTGTGGCAGAGTAGGCTTAGGACCGTAGGGGAGGAGTTTCACTTTGGAGCGAAGCATGCGCTGCAAAGGTAGTTACATTGATGCCGGCGAGAAGTTGCAAGACGCTCTGATGGTGCGACCATCGGCACATTCCGTGCCTCACAACCTGTTGCGATACACACACACACACATCTGTTTGTTGGAGAGCTGGTTTGTCGTAGCTGCCAGCGGCAGGCCGCGAAAGAAGAACTGGTTGCAGACATGCAGTTCAAGAAGCATGCATTGCGCCTGAGCCCGTGAAAGCCCGAAGCGACCCTTTTAAGTCTGGTGACAGATCTCAGTTCATTTCGGACATCGAAGGCACCCTGTGGCAGATCGTAGTTGGGGATAATTTGCTGACCTACTTTACTTGTGCTTTTCCTGTAGAGGAGATGTCTTTGGCATGTGCTCCTGCTGCACTCGGACTCAAGCGGCTTTTGGGGCTTATGGTATAGCTAGTAGGCCTTATGCTTGAGCCTTGACAGAGTTGAGCTTTTGGGGTTGTGGTTTTCAGACGAAAAGCATCGTAACACAAAAACATATTGAACTTCTCTTAGTTTGTCTTGGCAACCACTAGCACGGCTTGCCCAAAAACCTGGAAGCGGTAAAGCTTCAAGCCCTACACCACAAGTTTCTCCCCATATCCGTTTCCTGGGTTTCGCTAAGCTCCCTGGTACGCTCGTGCGCGCACGCGGTGCATGTCCGGAACCGCGTGTCGAGGCTTGGAGAAATCGGCACTGCAGTTCGACCCCTATCACGGACGTGATCGGGCCTGTGTGCTGCAGCGCCCCCAGCCTTGCGCTACACGAACCACCCTGTGTCAAGCGGCATGACCGCATGTGCAGGCCAATGGTGGCCGAAAAGGCAAGGGCTGGGAAGCCAGAAGCCTGGTGACCCTCCATGCGTCCTCTCAGCATCAGGCATGGAGTTCTGGTGCACGAGCCTTCCTTATGTGTCCAAGCTGGCGTGTGATTTGGGGATCAAGCCAACGGCTGCGCTTAGATTCCTTAGATAGGTGAGATGTGATCGAGTCTAAGAGATTTTTGGCTGCCATGCGGTTGCAAAACGGATATCATTTCCTCCAGACTACAGTCTACACCAAGCGATCCTCGTTCAGCAGCACGGGCCGGGAAGCCGATGGAGACACAGGATTGTCAAGAAGCCAGCAATTCCCCTGAAGCGACTGCCGAGGCCTCCAAGACTTTGCTCAAAAAAGCCTTGCTTTGCTTGCGGAGAGTTTGATGCTTGCAGTTTGCCGTCAACGGTGCTGCGACGGGCAAAGGCAAGGCGGCAGAAGTGCCACCATGCACATGTCATGCCGAGTGTCCGACAGGCAAGAGCAAAGGCCCGCCTTTGCCAACGTTTACGAGGAAACCAGAGGTCGCGAAGCAACAGGAGCCCAAAGCAATCTCAGCGGCTCAGCTGATTCATTGGACGTTCTACGCCACTAGCAACAATCACAGGTTCAGCATCATCATTGCATGCATAGAGTCGTTATCAAGGTGGACTTGGCACCACCCTTCCAGTTGGAACGCCCGCCAAACTCGGAGAAGGGCGGGGCGTCATGGCAGATTTTGAAGAGCATTCGCAGATCTAGAAGAACCCAGGAAGGGTTGTAGTGGAAGGCGCATGCAGGCAACTGGCCAAAGGGAGTCAGGTTCCCCAGGTTGCGACAGGTATGACATGAAGTTAGGGAGTTAAGGTGCCACGTAGGTGGTTGTGCTTGCATCCGGAGAGAAGGGCCTTCTGCTCTGCAAGATCAGGTGATCAAGTTCACAACCAGCAGCGGGTCTCAGCTACCTCTCCTGGTCCGTCAACTTACTGACAGCGGACGAGGGGAGAAGGCCATCTAGATTCGTTCAGCAAACAGCACACTTCATGGTCACGATAATGGCATCATGATGGTCATGTCCTCTCTGGTCTCTGTGCAGTAGACCCAGACTTGGTGCATGCGTTAACGTAACAAGTGTTAAGCACCGCATGTGCCCGAAGGGGGTCCGTGTCGATCAAGCCGTGCGGTATTTGGGACGCCTTCGCGCCTTGCGGTTCGAGTGTGACAACTACAATGCCGCCACTCGTGCAGCAGACGCGCAGCACTTTGGCCGCAAGCTCGAGCTGTGGTCGGACGTAGCTTTAGGTTTCTGGCAGATTGCAAACTATTCGGAGCCGCAGGCGCTTCTTGGAATTCTGCTCCTCTTGTGGCAGGGACCTGAGCTGAACTTGCAAGTCACCGAATCATGTACCATGTAGCACGTCATGGAGAATGCAGCAGGCGTTCAAGCTGGAGAACGCCCAGTCCATTTGCCTGGTTTGGATGAGCTGATTCAAACCGTGGAAGGCGAGATCGAGGATTTGGAGAGTCTGAGGGAAGAGATCGACTCGGGCGTGGCGGCAGCAGTTACAGAAAGAACTTCACCTCTGTGTCCTTTTTTTAATGTGTTCGTCGAATTCATTTCCTGCAGCCGGCTCTGCCAGCGCCGAGGTCATGTGCAATTCACCGCCCTGGCTGAGGTCTTCACCCCGGGAAAGAAGGCCAGCATATGAGAGAAAACTTCGTTGAGTTTGTTGCTTTGAGTTGGAAGCCCAATCCTCATCGCAGGTCTTCATGCAAGTGGAGGGTTTGAGCGAACCCGTTGGCATGACGGTATTGCAGAGCTGGTACCAACAGCAGCAAACTCTCTTTGGACCGGAGAAGTCTTTCCACATGGAGCTAGAATTCTTGGCATACTTAGGATCCAGCTTCGCACTCGTCAACTTTCAAGAGGTCATGTCTGCATACAAGGGCGTCCGAAGGTTGGATTCGTTGTTCTATATAGCAACGACTTCACAGATGATGGAGAAGCTGCATCAGCGTGGAAAGAAGTACAGAGATGCAGCAATGAGCTCACCCTATGTGCAGTATTCGCGCGGCTCCTTCTTCGCGCATGGGCGCGCGAAGCACGCCACCCTCTCAGCGGGCCGTGTCATGCTGGACACGCAGCGTGGCCACGAGTATGGGCATCATGCTGCTCGTGGTGGAGACAACTGCTCTTTGGCTCTCCAGCAAGCGCTGCGAACCTTCAAGCTGCAGCAGAAGCACGGCACTGAAACCCTGCGCCTGGTTCAGGATCCTCAGGATTCCGAGCTTTGGATGGCCTGGCCAGCCATGGTGGGGTTTTCCTTCACCGCAAAGTGCTGGGGCCAGGTGTTGGTGGCAGATACCTCCCCAATTCAATTCCGGGCAGATGCGTTCCAGCAGCTTGTTCTACCTGACGACACGAAGGAAATCATCCGGTCAGACTCTTGGGTTGGGTCAGGGGTACATGTAGCTTGAAGGCCACTGTGAACGGTTCAAAGGTCTAGCGATTCCAGTTGCTTGCAAGAACTCTTCGAAGGATTTGAGCATCTCAAAAGCTGCATACTCAGGTCTGCCGTGCGGCATGCCGGCACAAGCGGCCTGGACTTCATTGAGGGCAAGGCGCTGGCAGCAGTTAGTTCTAAATGGTACTATTTCAATCTGGATGTTGCTCGCTCAGGGATGCATGGACGTCAGGCTTGCGTGCAGTGCAGTTCACTCTTCATCCGGCCGTTTTCATAATCTACGCTGGGAATACACCTGTCCCGTAGTTACTCTGTGATGTGGGTTTGCCTGTCGACTTCAGAGCCATCGCACCAACAAGTGCTTGTAGCAGACGACTACACTCGATGATAATCTGGCATGTCCACGGAACACGTGTGCAGAGAGTGATCGGGCTTCACCCCCGGCAAAAGCGCGGATACAGCATGCCAATCATATTCCCGTCCGTGTGTGTGTGTGTACACGCCTGTACATGGCGACCGCAGCGCATGTCAAGCTTCCCTTCTTAAGGGTTGCAGGGGGGCAGAGGGAGTGTGGAGGGGCTCTGCCCAACGAAGCTCCCTTCCACACTCCAGGCAAACGTACCTGCACGCGTCCGCCCTGGGTCCCAGGTGGACAGCTGGGGGATGCTCTCTAACTCCTTCATCTCATTTGGCATACCGGGGCAGCACCCAACCCCAACGGATCATCAGTTTTAGCATGCCATTCCTGGTGTCTGGCTTGCTTACGCACCAAATTGCATCGTCCTTCCATGTCCCGCTCCTCTGTTCTTCCATCGTTTTGTCCTGTCTGTCTACCTTTGCATCAGTTCGTGCCAAGCCAAAGTGTGTGTGTGTGTGTGAGCGGTCCTCGTTCATGAACTATGAGAGGTCACTCTCCAAATTTTCATCTTTGCACTGGGGACGCAGGGGGTGCAGATGAGCTCCGTCCAACGAAGCTCTCCCCTTCACACCAGGAAAACGTACCTGCTTTGCCTGCGCCTGGGCCCCGTCGTGGGCAGCTGGCGGGACACTCACCTTCGTTCATCTTCCATCTCATTTCGTGCTACGTC